GAGTTATTTCTGAGCTTGAAACTTTCTGAATTTGGGGTGATGGGGATAGGGGTGGGGGCTTAGGGAATGAGAGCTGAAAGAGGGAAAAGGGGGTAAATGAATCATATCTTTAAAACATGGGAGGCTTACTCTGTAAACTGCTGTTTTGCTTACTTGATAGCCCCTAATTACTTACTGTTTGTGCCTTTGTTACGTAGGATGTCTGGACAGTGATAGACTGTGAAAGAGTCGTTTGCCCAGTATCTGGTTAGTTCATTGGAAAAAAAAAAAAACAAAAAAAAAAAACAACTGTTTGATTCAGATGTTTCTTTTTTATTTATTTTTTTTCTTTATAGGGCAGTGACTTCTTTGATAGTTTACTTCAGAAACTACAGGTTACTTACAAGTTCAAACTGGAGGACTACATGGACGGGCTTGCCATTCGAAGCAAGCCTTTACGAAAGACAGTAAGCCAGTTTCTTTTTTATTTTAAAAAATAAAAGGCCTGGCAAAGTGGTGTGCACCTTTAATCCCAGCACTTGGTAGGCACAGGCAGGTCATCTATTTAGTAAGTGTTTATCTAGTACGAATTATGGCCTGGGCGATAGGCTGTTTGTTTGAGGATATAGTAGTAAAGGATACGGTATAATAGGGGAACAGATAGATGAAACTAACAATCATAGTGGGGTACTGCGGCACATGTCAGTAATCCTGGATCAGGGGTTCAAGGCCAGCCTTGCTACATAGTGAGTTCCAAGCAAGTCTGAGCTGCATAAAATTCAAAAACAGAAAACAAACAAATTGTAACATCATAAACACTCTGATGCACTTCATGCTTGTAATCTCAGCACTGGGGAAAATGAAGCAGGAGGATTGTCATAAGTTTAAGACCATTGTGGGCTACATAGCGAATTCTAGGACAGTCTGAGCTACAGAGCGAGATCATGTCTCAAAAGAAGACAAGGAGGCTGGAGAGATGACTCAGTTATTAAGAGCACTTGTTGCTCTTAGCACCCACATGGCTGCTTACAACTATCTGTGACTCCAGTCTCAGAGGACCCAGTGCCGCCTTCCAACCTCGGCACTGGACATGCAAGTGGTGCATGTAAATATACACGGAGAAAACACCCACACGCAGGATTAATTTTTAAAAACATTTGTTTACTCTATATGCTGATTGCAGCTCATAAAACAACTTTTTATAAGGTAAAAAATAAAAAGCAATTGGATAAGTTACAGCATCAACCTTGGGCCTCTACATGTGTGCGTGCTCACACATGTAAAACGTGCACATGTAGCTACACAACACACAGATCAAAGCTGAAAACGAAACACAAAAAGGAAAGTGAAATAAGCACTATAGTAAGAATATGGAATAGTAAGGGACAAAGAGAGAAGTAATTGAACTAGGCAAGAACTGTACCAGAGATACATTCCTAGCCATGCTGAATCAGTCTTGAAATGTAAGTAGGAGTTTGAAGTGGGAGGGGAAGTTAGATACACAGGGCACAGTGAGCAAGAAGCAGGTAGTGTTGAAAAACTTCAAGAAGTTCATTCTTTCGGTGTTCATAATATGGAGTTGGGGTTATTTTAGGGGACAAAGCTAAGGAAGTAGGAAAGAGTAGATCATAAACCCTTAGATACCATACTGAAGATTTGGATTTTATTCTTTAATCATTTAGGAACCATTGGTTGCTTTTTTAGCAAAAGAATAGTAGATTTATTGTTAAAAATCAATCAATAAATTGTTGCTTATGATAGGTGTTAAGCAAGGGTGAATGTAGGGAGTCAGGTTAGAGGCAAGCAAAGAGAGATATAGTGGAGGCGAAAATAAAAAAAAAAAAATAGAAAGGCAGGCATGGTGGTTGGTGCTTATAATCCCAGCACTTGGGAGCCTGAGGCAGCAGGACTGTCTCAGGTTCAAAGCCAGTCTGTGGTACATAGTCAGACCCTGTCTCAAAACAAAAAGGGCTGGGGATGTAGCCCAGCTGGTAGAGTGCTTACCTAGCTGTATAAAGTCCTGGGTTCGATCTCTAGCACCACATAAACCAATGTGTGCTAGTGCATGAGGGAGGGTCTTTAGAACTTCAAGCTTATCCTTAGCTACATAGCAAGTTTGAGGTCAGACCAAGCTATGTGAGACCAGAAAACCATGTGGTGTGAAGGTTATTATAGGAGGCATGAAAAATCGAGGTTTCTTCCAGTTTATGCCCTAGAGGATTGACTGTAAAGGAAGAGTACAGCTTAGGATTTTACATATATACACATTTTTTTTTTTTAAACTGAGTCTTGTGTAGCCCAGACTTACTCAGACATGCTCTATAGCTAATATTAGTCTTGAACTCTTGATCCTCCTGCCTCTACAAACCAGTAGTGCTGAAATAATCCATGCTTTGCTAGGGTTAGATATATTTGTGTGAGATGTATAGAATGAACTTGAAAATGAGTTTTTTTTCAGGCAGGATCTGAAAAATGATTATGTAGCCCACACTAGTGCAGAACTTGATTTGTGGCTAAAGGTGGTCTTGAACTCCTGATCTTCCTGCCTTTATCTTCCAAGTTCTGGGGTTATTGGTATATGTTTCTACACAGGGTTTACAAGGAGTATTTTGATCTGTTTGGCGTTTAACAGAAAGCTAGGCTGGTGCTAAAGATTGAGTAGTCATCAGTGTGTAGGTGGTAGTTGAAACAGAAGTTGTGATATTGGGGAGGCTGGCCAGAGAAGGTGATCATATTGCAAGGTGAGATGAGTAACATTTTAAAGTGCTTTAGAGTTGTCAGATGTCAATATTATTTTAAAAATATGGCCATTGAGGCTGGCAAGATGGTTTAATGGGTAAAGGCAAGCCTGAAGATGTGCGTTTGAGTCCTGTGACCTACATGGTAGAAGCAGAGCTGATTCTGGGAAGTTGTTCTCTGTTCTCCAAACACGTACCAGGGCCTGCGTGTGCATACGTGCATGTGACGACACACACAAATAAATATAATAAAAACTGTCTATTGAGCTGAGTGTGGTAGCGCACGCCTGTAATCCTAGCATTCAGGAAGGCAGAGGCAGGCAGAGCTCTTGAGTTCGACGCCAGCCTGGTCTACAAAGTGAGTCCAGGACAGCCAGGGCTACACAGAGAAACTGTCTCAAGAAACCAAAAAAAAACTGTCCATTAGATCGAATGATCTTATCAAGAGCTTTGGTTTTCTTTAATCAGAATAGGAGAAAGTTAATTATTGAGTACATTGTAAAAGGGCAACAGGCTGGGCAGTAGCTACAGTGCTGCCTGTAGCTATGAGTTATTTTTATTGAAAGGGTAGGCCATCGTGGATGAAGGTCTTCAGCACCCATTCTAGAGTAGTGTTGACATCCATTACACCTCCAGTAGCAATGCCTTCCTCAGCCATGGTGTGGGTTGCGGGTGAGGCCAAATCTTGAGTGCTCTGGAGCCTTTGCCTCCGTGCAACTCCGGGCGGCCGGGAAGAGGCTAGGCTGAGTAGCCAGCAAGTGGGTCTCTCCCCACCTACTGCCAACAGGCACGTGGAGCCAGGCTCAGCTTTTACGCAGGTGCTGGGAATCCAAACTCAGGGCCTCATGCTAGTGCAGCCCCTAGCAATGTATTCTAAAAATTTCGTTTTAGTTTTTATTTATTTACATGTACGAGTGTTTTGCTTGCATGTTTGTATGCCTGATGTCCATTGAGATCAAAATAGGGCATCGGATTGCCTGGAACTGGAATTATAATGAGTCCCTGTGTAAGTTCTGAGAACTAAACCCTGATCTTCTGCAAGAGCAACAAATGCTCTTAGCAAGTGAGCTGTCACTTCAGCCCCTGAATATATGTTTTTAAACACAGACAAGGAAACCTAGGTCCAGATATTCCAGAGGCTTCCTTGAGATTACACAGATTGCTTGACTTCTAGTTTCAGAATGCATTGTTTCGTTTGCCTGGGACTCAGAGTAGGAGCTACTACTCTCCTGTGTTTTCTTTTTGTATTATGTTGTTGGCAGTTTTTTAGTGCTCAAGGTCAGGTTTGAGAACTGTGTTTTTCTTCTGTCACTTAAATCCCACCCGTTTCTTCTGGTATTGAATTGTGTTTCTTGGGTACTCTGCTAACCATTTGTCTCTTCTGTAGGTAAAATATGCCTTGATCAGTGCTCAACGCTGTATGATTTGCCAAGGAGATATCTCTAGATATCGGGAGCAAGCCAATGATACAGCAAACTATGGGAAGGCACGCAGGTACTTTTTACCTCTCTACTCAATATTTCTCTTCCCTGTGTGGCATTAAGTGAATTCCTGCAAGGCATCCGGCCAGTTGAGCTCCCTCCCATATAGGATGCCCTACAGTTGTCCTTAATTGGTCCCTTTAATCATGCTTGGCTACTCACGGCTCTATCTAGTTAACTTTCTAGTCTGTGACGTAAGTAGAAGGGCTGTGAGGATGGATTGGGAAAGAGCGGATAGTATTTAGCATTTTATTTTTGTTTTCTATTCTAGTTGGTACCTGAAGGCCCAGAATATTGCACCCAAGAATGGGCGCCCCTATAACCAGTTGGCTTTACTGGCAGTGTATACGGTAAGAAATTCTGTGGATAAGGGAGCTATTTCCTAGGCAGTTTCTTATTTTTGAGTTAAGAGTTTTGTTTCACTATATAGACAGGCTTCAAACTTGTCATCTTTGCTTCACCCTTCCATATGCTAGAATTAGAGGCATTTCCCACCACACCACACCACACATGAGTTTCTTAAAATACTGATTTAATTTGTATTATTACCTTTGTGTTTTTTGATTTATTACATGAGTGAAGGCACCCAGGGGTGGTGGCACATACCTTTAATCCCAGTACTCAGGGAGATAGAGACAGGTGGCTCGCTGTGAGTTTGAGGCAAGCCTGACCTACAGAATTTATTCATTTATTTATCTTTTTTTTTGAGACAGGGTTTCTCTGTGCAGCCCTGGTAGACCAGACTGACCTGCCTGCCTCTGCCTCCCAAGTGCTAGTCTTAAAGGTGTGAGCCACAACGCCCAGCTTTATTTTATTCTGTTATTTTTAAAAATATCATCCTTGTGAAGGGATCATGCTAATCTTTTCTCTATTGTTCCAATTTTAGTATATGTGCTACCGAAATCGATTTATTTACTTATTGATTGGTTGTTTTTTTTTTTTTTAAGACAGGTTTTACCTTGTAGCTTGGCTGTCCTGGAACTCAGTCTGTAGAGCAGGCTAGTCTTTTTACGTCTATTTAGCGTGTCTGTGCTCATGCTTGTGCGTGCGTGCGTGTGTGCGTGCGTGCGTGTTTGCACATGCCCATGCACGTGTGCATGTGCACATGCCACTGTTTGAATAGGAAGATCACAGGACAACTTGGAAGAATGGATTCTCTCCTAGCACTGTGTAGGCTCAGGGCTTCACACTCGGCTCACAAGTGTCTTCTATCCACTGAGCCATCTCTCCAGCCCCTGCCTCCTTTATTTTGAGGTGAGCTGTTAGGGACCCACCCCTCACTTTTGTTGACTTGGTTCATACCTGCACTTTGCTGCATTTAATTTCCAAAGGGAATTTACTTTTCAGCCAAACAATAGCTTGTTACTCTGCATCTTAACCTCGTTTCCTTTACCTAAGCTGTTCTAGAAAGAAGATAAGAACCCTTTCTTTTCTCCCTGCAGGGCCTCACCCAGCCCTCAGCATTTAGGTCTTATTTCTTTCCCCAGATACTTTTTTTTTTTTTTTTTTTTTTTTCATTGAGTAACTTTGGCTGTCCTGGAACTCAATTTATAGATCAGGCTGGCTTCAAACTCACAGGGACTGTCTGCCTCTGCTTCCTCCGTGCTGGGATTAAAGGCTAAACCACCATGCCCTGCTAGTTCAGATCTGTTAACTTTTTATCTAAAGTGGCTGCTTAGTAGACACACAGTAATCACTTTATCACACCTGTAGATTTTACCAGTTTCCTTGAATGTGGTTCTAATTAGGAGAAATGGACTTTGGAAGCTGAGAGGATTCCAGGCAGGAAGCTGCAGGAAGTGGAAAAGAGGGGGGTGGGATGGGGCAATGGTGGATACTGAAAGTATCAGGAATAAGAAGCAGCTCATGTGATTATCAGAAAGAGAAAAGCCAGTCTTTCCCTGTCTCTCTCCTCTACTCTCCTGCCTGCCTAATTTTCTGTCTTTTTCTTTCCTTGCTAGGCTTTTGCTGTACTGTGCAAGCTGCCAATCCTTGCCTAAGCCTCTCAAGGACAGGGATTGCCAGCCATGTGCCACTGCACTAGGCCCTTGCTCTCATTTTTTGAAATTGTTGTGAGATAGGGTTTCACATAGCCCAGGCTGGCCTTGAACTTGCCACATAGCTAAAGATGACACCACATTTGATACTTTGTCTACTTCCCCCAGTGCTGTGAATACAGGCATGTCCCCCTGGCTGTCCTGGAACTTGCTTTGTAGACTAGGCTGGCCTTGAACTCACAGAGGTCCGATCTTTCTGCCTGTGCCTCCCAAGTGCTGGGAATAAAGGTGTAAGCCATCTCTGCCCAGCTGCCATGCCGGTTTATGTGTTAGAGATCAAAATTTCAAGGCAGGGTTTCTCTGTGTAGCCTCGGACTCACTTTGTAGACCAGGCTGGCCTCCAGCTCACAGCGGTCTGCTGCCTCTGCTGGGATCACAGGTGTGCGCCACCTCATCAGGCTTGTAGTTTTCTTTAGAGCTTAAGTATTAGGTGTCTTTGGTTAAATTTATTCCTAAATGATTACTTTTCTTGATGCTATCGATAAAGAAATTGTATTTCTCACCTTCTTTTCAGGTTTTCTATTTCTCTAGAAGCTTTGCCATATTTTCTCCAGGGCTTTTGCCATTTTGGTTGAATTGTTATTTTTCTTTCACAGGCTTCAGACCCAGATTAGTGTCCCCCCCCTTTTTTTTTTTTTAGTTTTTTCTTTCTTTGTCTCTTTTACATCTTTGTTGTCTATAAATGTTTTTCAGCTTTTCTGGGTCCTCAAGTCATTCAGTGAATTTCAGGTATTTAGAACATGCTTGTAGGGGCTGGAGAGATGGCTCAGAGGTTGAGAGCACTGACTGCTCTTCCAGAGGTCCTGAGTTCAGTTCCCAGCAACCATACGGTGGCTCACAACCATCTATAATGTGATCTGTTTGCCCTCTTCTGGTGTGTAGGCACATATGCAGGCAGAACACTGTATAAATAATAAATAAAGAAATCTTAAAAAAAAAAAACATGCTTGTGTGTAGTGATTTTCAGGGTGCTGTGAGTGAGAAAATATATGATGGCTTCTTCCCTAAAAGAAATCATTAACTGTTAGAGATACAATTATTTTGTATTCAACTTATATGTGTGTTCAAGATATATGTGGCGGGAGACAGGAGAGATGGTCTAGAGCAGTGGCTCTCAGCCTTCCTAATGCTGTGACCTGGCTCATGTTGTGGTGACCCCAACCAGAAAATCATTTTTGTAGCTATTTCATATGTGTAATTTGCTGTTGTTATGAATCATAATGTAAATATCTGATATGCAGAATATGCGAACCATATGAAGAGCTTATCAACCTCCAAAGGGGTAGGTGACCTACAAGGTTGAGAACCACTGGCCTAGATGTGAAGAGATTTTGCTGCTCTTGCAGATCAGATTGGTTCTCTGCACCACATCTGTTAGTTTATAACGTGTTGTTAGTCCAGTTTCAGAGGTGCTGACATCCTCTTCTGCCCTTTGCTGTTATTGCACTCATGTATCCTACCCTTCTCCAACACGTATGTACACATAATAAAGAGAAATAAAAAAATAAATATAGCACAATGATAGGTTTTTTTGTTGTGGTTTTCGATTGTTTGTTTTTTTGAGACATGGTTTCTCTATGTAGCTCTGGCTGTCCTGTTACCAGGCTCTATAGATCAGGTTGGGCTTGAACTCACAGAGATCCACTTGCCTCTGCCGCTGCCTCTGGAGCACTGGAATTAAAGTCATGTGCCACCATGCCCAGCTAGTTGTATATATTTGTTTCAAGTTGTATCTCAGTCTTAGAAATATTTAAATATGAAAAGTAGAGTCAATAAAATAGTTTCAAATCAAATGAGTTGGTATTAGCAGATACCAGTTTGAATTGGGGTAACAGTTACTGACGCTGGGCTGTGGTGGCTCACTCCTTTATTTCCAGCACTCTGGAGGAAGAGGCAGGTGGATCTCTTTGAGTTCTGAGTTTGTGGCCAGCCTGGTCTACAGAGCAAGTTCCAGGACAGTTAAGGCTACATAGAGAAATGCTGTCTTGAAAAACAAAAAAGCTACTGAATATAATGGTGTTTCAGATGTTGTTGTAGATATATGTGTGAATTATGGAATTTAATATCATGGGAACCATATGTGTGCACATATTAGCAATTTGTAAATAAGGAAACCTCTCTTAGTAAACCATAGCTAATAAATGTGTAACCAAAAAAAATTTTTAAAAAGATTTATTAAAATAGTTTATAATGTTCTGTCTGCATGCTAGAAGAGGACACGTGATCTCATTATAGATGTGTGAATTGAACTCAGGACCTCTGGAAGAGTGGCCAGTGCTCTTAACCTCTGAGCCATCTCTCTAGCCTGTGTAAATTTAAACTCAGGCATTTGACCTTAAAACCTGGGCAGTAATCATGCTAGAGTAAACACTAGATTAAAGTTTTGAAAAAGGCTACCATGTCTTTAATCCTAGCACTCAGTAGGCAGAGGCGGTTGGATCTCTGAGTTAGAGTCCAGCCTGGTCTACAAAGTGAGAAAACCAGGGCTACACAGAGAAATCCTGTCTCAAAAAACAAAAACAAAACAAACCAAAAAAAAAACCCGAAACATTTTGATGAATGAGGAGATGCTGAGAGAACATTTTAAAAGAATGTTTTGAGGCAGTAATGGAGAATATGAAGATGTGTATGAAGTAGGAGAGACACAAAGGTGGTCTGATATTCCACTTTGTGCTTCAGTTGTTGTCAGCCTGCCTTCTTTCCTTACTTCCGTCTCTTCCCGCTCTTCTCCCTGCCTGGAGGAGCTGAATCTAGAAACTGTGTCCTGAGCTTTGCTTTGAGCCACTCCCACTGCCTTTGCTCTGAAGGGCATGTGGTCTGCTCAGGTTGTGATGCCAGGCTAGCCTTGAACACCTGGGCTCAAGCAGTCCTCCCATTTTGGTCTGCATCTAGAGTTGTTGGGATTATAGGTTCATGCTGCTGTGCTCAGCTTTCTTTATTTATTCTTTATTTATGCTTTTGTTTTGTTTTTTGAGATGTCTTCTTTTAACAGAGCTCTGGGCGGTTCTGGAATTTTCTGTGTAGCCCAGGCTGGCTTCAGTTCACAAAGATCCATCTCCCGATGCTGGGATTAAATGCATGTGCCTCCACACCATGTCTGACAGCTTCCTTTATTCTTTTTTCCTATCAGGTATAAAATAGGCACAAAATGTTAATTTGTTAAATTTATTTAATAATTTTCATGAAATATTCAACATACTTATTTTAAAAATCATAAACAACTAGTCTCATTAAGTACAGCTAAGCTCAAGGCAAGTGATCATCATCACATCGGTAGATAGTGGGTACTGCCTCTAAATCTATAGACATTGCTTCAGGAAAACTGTCATTCCTATATCAGAAGTGAGGATGGGCCAGCAAGGTGGCTCAGCAGGTAACAGTAGTGCTCACCTCTAAGCCTGACTACCTAAATTCAGTCTTTGGGACCAACATAGTGGAGGGATAGAACTGATGTCTGAAAATTGTCTCTGACCGTCACATATGCGCTATAGCATGCACCTATGGCTTAAGCATGCCCCTCAGTCTAATTAATAAATACACATAATAGCATTTTTTTAGGTCATGTTGGCTCACAACTTTAATCCCAGCACTCAGGAGGCAGAGGCAAGCTGATCTCCAAATTCAAGGCCAGTCTGTTCTACTAATAAGTTCCAGGTCAGTCAGGACTACCTAGTAAGACCCCGTCTTAAAAAAAAACAAAAAACAAAAAAGGAGTATGTGGCATCTTAGATTCTTACCTACCTTCTCCAAAGTCTAGTCATACCCTGGATTAGTTCCTGTTTGAATCTCGGTCTGTCTACCTCCTAATTTTATTCAGGATTTCATTATAACATACTGAGTAATAACAGTA